ATTTTTATCCAAAATGCCTTAACCTTTTGACAGGTCCACCATATATGAAAATATGTAGCATCGAGAGAACATTGATGCAGCCTTTGCTTTGATGTATCTAGCTAAGCTAAGGGAAGATTGCCTTTTCTATTGAGCTGTGATGACTCAGTGGTTAGAATGCACTATTGCAAGCTACTTCTGCTGACTGCTGGTTGCAGTTTGGCAGTTCGAGTCTCACCGGCTCAAGGTTGACTCAGCCTTCCATCCTTCCAAGGTGGGTAAAATGAGGACCCAGATTGTTGTGGTCAATATGCTGACTCTGTAAAACTCTTGGAGAGGGCTATAAAGTACTGTGAAGCAGTATATAAGTCAAAGTGCTATTGCTATTCTCTAGTTAATTAGTTGTGCCCCCAAACTTCCCTTATTGCTGGAAGTTTTGATTTTTTAAAAATGTAAATCCAGTGTACAATGTCCCATACTCCTGATCATTTTCTGCACAACATACATACTTTTGGGTATTTAAAAGAGTGCTATCACTTAGTTTTTTTTCCTCGAGTAAAAATGCCAGCCTCCTTCAGTCTTTCTTTAGAGAGCTGTTTCTTGGCATTCATCCTCTTATTTCTTTTTCTTTGGCTGAACTCTCCTTAGCTTGGTGCCAGGAATTACTGACCAACATAAAGTGGAACATTTTACTTCTGATTATTTATAACTCTGCTTCTGTTGATACATCTAAAAATACTTTTGTCTTATTCGGTAGCCATATTGTACTTAGATTCAGTTTGTAATATGCTGTTCCAATATTTTTTACTTTACAGGTATTCTCTACTCTTTACCTGTGCATTTGATTTTGTTTCCTAAGGGCATAATTTTATGTATCCATTATATTTCATATTTTTAATTTTTATATTCTAACCCCTTTTTCTAAGTGTGAGATGGGCATTCTGAATGGCTATGTATTATATTACATTGTATAACAGTGGTTTAATTTCAGCAGCAGTTTAACAAATTGATTTAATTTTAGTGGCGTGATTTGGAGTCATGAGTAGAATGAATGTGGCTTTTAAGAAACCTCCCTTTTCTATTCCCACCCTTTCAATCCCCCCCTCCCATCCAACATAAAAAGAAAAAAAAAGAAAAATCAAGCCAGATAGATTCCTGAAACTCCAAAAGGCCAGGAGGACAAAGTTGTGGGCTCTAACCACTCAATCATTTGTTCACTATGCTGTAATCTAGTAAGATTATTTCTATCTTCTATGGTATTAGCTCTCCTATTCAATTCCATGTCACTTTCTGATTTGGTAGATATTTTATTAAAGCCATTAACATTCCCTACTGGAAAGAAGAGGGCTAGAACTAAGCCTTGTGGCACCTGCTCTTTCTAGTTCATTAAGGAACTGTTTTATGAGCATACTTTGAATACAATTATTGATGATGCCATGTATTCAAATATTCATGTTATCCAACAGCAGTTATTTACTTGATTACAATTTCACAGTTTTATTTTGTGAAATGCTTTATTGAAAACAACAAATACAATTATATTTATATTTACTACAGAAGCTACCATTTTAGCAAGGTTTGTTTCCTGATAATTCTCTTATTTTTTTTCTTGTGGTTAAGACAGTGTGTTCAATGTACTTACAGCCTAATTGTTTTTTTGATCTCTGGAATCTTTCCGTGCATTGATTTCAGAGTGAACAAATAGTTTCAGTTATTACCTGCCACAGAAAATTAATAGGACATCTGTAGCCCCAAGGACACAAACAATATAATTAATTTCAGATTTCATGCCCTGATAATTAAGTTTTGAACAATATGTTCTATGCAGACTACAGCTGAGGATTGCAACTCGTGGAGCTGAACAGCTGGCTGAAGGAGGTAGAATGGTGTACTCTACCTGTTCATTGAATCCTATTGAAAATGAAGCTGTCATTAGTTCTCTGCTGGAAAAAAGTGAAGGTGTGTATAGTTTAAAAGGGGGGAAAATGGTGTTTTAGTAAAGCTTACTCTTTAGCCTGGACCTGTAGGGCAGTGTGTTGATTGAAAATCTGGGTTAGTTTAATATTCGTTATATTGGAATTCTAATTTTAATCTAGATGCTGCTAGCTCATTTTTCTAGAAATTATAGCTGACTAAATACAGGCGGCATGATATTTCTTTTCTGATTCTAATCTCAAATGAACCAGTTCTGTAGGAACTGATTTTTTTCATCCGGGATGCTTTTAACTGTCAGAACATAACCTATTATAGTTGGTAGCTGGTCTTCACTGTTTGAATGCTATTCAAATGTGTTATTAAAGAAGCCATATAGATTTGATGTGAAAACCTTATATCATGTTTACTTTCTACATCACCCTATTTTGTTAAGATAACATAGGTACCAAGGATAGTTGCCAGTCTACAGTGCTTGTTTGCTTCATGGATATCTTTAAGAAACCTTAATAATTTCAATATATTCTCTTTCTTGACAATTTGGGTCAAAGTTTTAAAGATTGGTCAGAAGTGTTTAACTTTTCAAGTCATACAAAAGATTTGAACGGGATGTATGAACAATCAAGAAAAAGAATCAGGAAAAGTGTATAAGAATGATGTTCAAATAAGCAAGGGATTTATAAATCTACGGCAGTTTTAATTTTCCAATGTATCGTTAATTAACTCCAACTGAATGTATTACATCATTTTAAAAGACAAAAAATCACTACAAAATCTATACAAAGAATGTATTTCAGCAACCAGGATCAAAGCAGTATGAATCACTGAATGAGATTATGAGCTATAGTAAATTCTATCCATATTACTAAAGGTAGATTCTGATTTTTAAAATCTGTAAAGTTGAAACTGAATCTAAGCATAAACAGTACAAATATTGTACATGGTACAATCCATGGGTGATTAAAGACCAACCGTAAAAGCAAAATTCAGCAAATATGGTGAATAAAAAAGAAAAAAAAAACAGAAAAATCCCTGATACAATAAAGTAGAGGAAGCACCAGTGGCTTCTAAAAGCCATAACTATTGATGGAAATTTTGCAGCTCACCTTCTGAGAATTGATCACATAAAACAAGAGCAGTAATCTCATACCCACAGGAGCAGTTAAAATTACTGACCATTACAGTTATGAATGTTGATCATCATTGAGCATTTAGTGGGAATTTTAACAGCACATTGGTGCAGAGTCATCCTCCTTCATCTTTGCACAGGAGAGTGGCTTTTACAAAATGTTAACGCCTCTGCTAATTGTTCTTCTAATAGGTGGTTCCCTGTTTGCATCAGAGTAAAGAGCCTCCTACAAGGAACATGTACGATATGAATAGCTACTGGTGAATTAGGTTTTGGGGTGGGGGGGGCAATTAAACTATTAAAATCATGAGAAGTCCTGATTCTCTTAGTGTGGACAATTAAGTCCCAATTCTCTGTTTCAGTTCACCCAGTTTATCTAACCAAGGGTGAAAATGGCATCGAGGAAAGGCCTCAATATGTTAAGTCATTTTTAATTTATCTCTTCAGGAAAAAAAACAAAAAACTATGCCTGTTCATCAAGGTGAAGTGGAGAAGGGAAGTTTCCCAAAAGACTTTCTTCTGGCAGAATTGGGTCAACAGAATCTTAATTGAACCCCAAAGGGGATACAGCCTAATTCTAAACATATTAAAGCATAAAAATTTGAATGATGGAAGAATGTTATAATTTTTTTTAATTTTGATTGAATGATTTCTAGGGTCTTAATGGATGTGCAACCGTAATCCTGATCAGAACTGTAACTTTTAAGTAATATAATGGCTGCCAGGGCATAGTTATTTTCAAACTTACTTGCAAATTTAACAGTGACAAAATAAGCTTTTGGGGGCTTTTATAAGCAGCTCTCTCTTGAGTTGACCAACTGGTAGGATTATGACTAATCCTAACCTTGGTTATCCACTATTCCAGTCAAGTGACTTTTCCAGTAAAATGCATAATGTTGACTTTTTTTTTGAAGGTGCCTTAGAACTTGCTGATGTCTCTTCTGAGTTGCCAGGGCTGAAAAGGTTGCCAGGCATTACAAAATGGAAGGTAATTTTATAGAAATATGTATTGTATTTAGGGATTCATATCCCACGTGAACAAATAAAATTTCCAAAAGTAAATAGGTTAATTAGTTATCCAGGATTAAATCATTGCTATGAATTGCCCTTTTCAAGTCTCGTTGAGGTTTCTTTGTTGCTTAAACATGCTGTAAACAGTGATGCATTATTGCTTCTGCTTAGGAGAGCCAGTTTGGTCTAGTGGATAAAGCAGCAGACTAAAATGCTGAACACCATGAGTTCAAGTCCTGCCTTAGTCATAAAGCCAGGTGGGTGACTTTGGGCCAGTCATTCCCTCTCAGCCCAAACTATCTCATAGGGTTGATGTGAGGAAAATAAGAAGAGGAAGATATGTTGGATATGCTCGCTGCCTTGAGTTATTTGTGAAAATGATACAGGCAGGAACCAGGGTTTTTTTTTAAAAAAATGATGAACTTCCCCCAAAAAGGAGTGGGGACATGGAAGGCCTTTGGTCATTTATATAAATACTGTAATGGGAGAAGGGAGTGGGCAGCACCTCTTGGCTGGAGATCTTTTAGCAATAATATCACCAAGAGGGTATATTTTTTTCAAGATATCTTTTCCCAGATCAGTTTAACCATATTACAAGGCAACCAACTTCTGTATAATTTATTGATGATAGGGTAGTCACTTGGCCCTTGTTACATTTCAGCATTAAATTTCATGAGAGAAAGGGAAGATGTGCTGCTTTGATGAGCATATTCATGGCACGACAAAACCGCGGTCCACTAAAGCGCGCCCGATTAAAGCGCGTCGCTGACGTCATCAGCAGCGCGACTGCGGAGAAAAAAGGACGCTTTAAAAAGCGCTTTGAAAGCAAGCCAATTCATGTTAAGGTAAGGGTTAGCTTTAGGGTTAGGTTAAGGGTTAGGGTTAGGTTTAGGTTTAGGTTTAGGTTTAGGTTTAGGTTTAGGTTT